AGAAAAATGGGGGGGGGGGTGCACAATTTTTAAAAAAAGAAGCTACAAGCCTTGCTTAGTGGGGATCGTATGTTTTTGCATGACTTTAAGGGGGATTGTTAAGAATTATTATTATTGAACGCAGACCTACTTGTGTACTTCATATTTCGCGCTATAGATAAAGAAACTGCATTCAAACCAGTACCCAACCTCCCAGCAAGTTACACATAGAAAGGCTAGGTTACGTAGGCTGTTTTGAAGTTAAAAAATGGCGTTCTGGCACACGTCCTGCGAAGATAAAAGAAGTGCGCTTTTATTCTTGGTTTTTCACGAGTTTTTGCGTGGTATGTCGTATTTAAGCATTTAGAGGTTAATCATAAAATGTTCCGCAATGGATATTTATTCTCAAAGTTTCTGAGGAATTGAACTAAAAAGTTGTTCGACTCGAGATGCAGTATTTAAAAGTCGATGAAGCAGGTTGCAAATCTCTTCATCTTTCCTTGCAAAAGAGCGGTCTTCTTACTCATTCATTACCAGTGATTTTGATCAATATTCTCTACTTTGTCTCATATAATACTATGCAAGACAACTACTGTATTCACGAAAATCATTAATTTGACAATTTTTTCAAACAATCAAAATCCAACACTTAAAAGTTTTTCTCATGGAAAATCTTCATGATTCTCTTCTCCAATTTCTCCACAACTAGTTTTAGAAAATTACAATCTAATTTTCTGAGCCATTTCTTTACTCTTTTGTGAGAGAAAAGGCGCAAGTTTTGGCACTTTTGGATTGAAACTCGTTATCCAAGTAGAATGAATAAATTATCTCTGTGAGTGACGTTCAAGCCACTAAAATGTTTCAAGAGCTCACTTCAGATAAATACATTTTTTTCTCATGGAAAATCTCCATTCTCTTCTCCAATTTCTACAGAGCTAGTTTTAGAAAAATAAGTACTAATTTTCTGAGCCATTTCTTTACTCTTTCCTGAGAGAAAATGCAAGTTTTGGCACTTTTGACTTGAAGCTCACAAGTTGGTTCAAAATTCGTACGGGATGAATAAATTATCTCTGTGAGTGACGTTCAAGCCACTAAACTGTTTCAAAAAGCTAACTTCAGATAAATAATTTTTTTTCTTATGGAAAATCTCCATTTTCCTTTCCAATTTCTTCAAAACTGGTTTTAGAAAAATAAGTTCTAATTTTCTGAGCCATTTCTTTACTCTTTTGCGTTAGAGAAAACGCAAATGTTGGCCCTTTTAACTTGAAGCTCACAAGTGTGTTCAAAATTCGTACGAGATGAATAAATTATCTCTGTGAGTGACGTTCAAGCCACTAAACTGTTTCAAGAGCTCACTCAAGATAAATAGATTTTCTTCTTATGGAAAATCTCCATTCTCCTTTTAAATTTCTACAACACTAGTTTTAGAAAAATAAGTACTAATTTTCTGAGCCATTTCTTTACTCTTTTGTGTTAGAGAAAACGCAAGTTTTGGTACTTTTGACTTGAAGCTCACAAGTTTGTTCAAAATCCAAGAAGAATGAATAAATTATCTCTGTGAGTGACGTTCAAGCCACTAAAATGTTTCAAGAGCTCACTTCAGATAAATACATTTTTTTCTTATGGAAAATCTCCATTCTCTTCTCCAATTTGTACAAAACTAGTTTTAGAAAAATAAGTACTAATTTTCTGAGCCATTTCTTTACTCTTTTGTGTTAGAGAAAACGCAAATTTTGGCCCTTTTTGACTTGAAGCTCACAAGTTCGTTCAAAATCCAAGTAGAATAAATGAATTATCTCTGTGAGTGACGTTCAAGCCACTAAAATGTTTCAAGAGCTCACTTCAGATAAATACATTTGTTTCTTATGGAAAATCTCCATTCTCTTCTCCAATTTCTGTAGAACTAGTTTGAGCAATTTAATTTCCGACATTGACTCGTAGACCATGAGTGGGAAAGGTCTTTTTTTATTATGAACCTACTAAGTGACCAAATGCGCGGGCTTCTTCGTATACAGTTTTAGTGCCGTCACTCCGCGCGATCCCTCCTCACAAGTCAGTACATGTCGTATCTGTCATTCGAAATCCTACTCACATACCTCTGCCGAAAACGACTCGGAAAACTAACCAATGTAGAGGTTCTACATTGACCTAGACTTGCTCCAAGTCTCGTTCGCTTATTATTTTTCCATTGCAAGCTGGGATTCAAATGGCGCGACCGACCTTGTTCATGCTGCAAATGTAGAACATGGTAGGGTGGAAAGAATAACGGTTTTCCCACACGTAGCCTTGCATTCAAGAGGTTGAGAAAGGCCTATTGGTTAGTTTTTCTAAATCAGTCGTCTGTATCGATTTTTGTTCCAGGAAATACAAACAACCCCAGCACTCGGTAGTTTTTGAACAACTTGAAGAAATAACAGAATCAGGGATTTCAAGTGATGATGGTATAGTTTTTGATCCTAATTATTTCAAGGCTATAAGAGAGGTAAATAAATGTTCTCTAGTTTTATTACTAATCGTTAGCATAGTTCCTATGACGTTTAAAAAAACACTAGGACTATCTCACAGATTTACGTTGGCCCATAAGGGACATGCAGCAAGTTAAACAAGTTGCTGCAAATAAGAAACGAGTTAATTGCTGCATGTTAGACTAGTTGCTGCGTGTTAAACGAGCTGATGCAAATAAGAGACAAGTTGCTGCAAGTAAGTTGCTGCATGTTAGACGTGTTGCTGCAAGCGAGAGACAAGTTGCGCAATTAATAGCAGAAACTCGTTTCGTATTTGCAACAACTTGTCTAAATTACTGCTTGTCCCTTATGGGCCACCGTAGAAATTGAACTTGATTTTTGCGGGGGGACGAAAATCGGAGAACCCGGAGAAAAACCCTCAAATCAAGCATCAAGGGAGAGACTTAAAAGCAAACTCTAATCACATGTGATGTTGAGTTCAGGATTTTTCATTTTACATGCGTGCACTAAAAACAACGTGTCGTTTCGATACAGCAGTTTTCTCAGTGAGTGTACGTCRCATGTAATTTTATTTTTTAGGTCAAGCTGAGTCCAGATTCAGTCCAGATTCTATCGATGCTTCCAGGAACAAGAACAGAGGAGCAGATACAGGCGGTAAGTAGAGCTAAGGTTATTTTCCAGGCGTACGTAGCTATTAACGAGAAAGCATTCCATACGAAAACCAAATGGAGTTTTTAGGTTGTGTTTAAATTCATGGTTATAAGAGGCTTCATGGCTTCTTCAACTTTCTGTTTTAACATCTATTTTGCAAAGCAGGCTCGAAATAAGAAAACCACGAGTCCCTTAAAGGTCGTGTTTTGTTGTATGTAATGCAACAGCAGAGCAGGCCCATCATAGGCAACATAGGATTGCAGCCTCCAAAACTTGGAGTGCCCTTAGAAAATTGCCAGCTGGATGAATGCGATYGTACAGAGACTGATGCTGTTCTGTTTATATTAAATTAACACTGCAATTCAATCTCAGGCATTAGTTGGTCTGAAGACAGCTGTGGCGGCTTTTGGTGAATATCCGTTGAAAATGCAAAGAAGACTTGTAAATGTTGGTTGGTACGAAAGGTTAGCATCACTGGATTTGCGTTTATCATCATCGTCATCAATAACATCCTTGGATAAGGCTCCTAGGCTGTAAACAATCATTATTTTTTACTAATGACTTATTTCACCATTTCAGTTTCGAAGCGAAGAGAGTCATCATTAGACAAGGCCACAGAGCGGAAAATTTCTATTTTATTCTATCTGGAACAGGTAATAGAATGACTGCAATGAAATTAGATTCCACTTTTCGCATATACCAAATAGAGCCGTACCTAAAGTTCCAAAGCACAAGGTGCAGTAATACGGGCCACAAAGTCATTCAACTTGTCGCGCAACATTGCGGTTGCAAGTTGCAATGCGAATGTTTCCCCTATGACCACTCCGCGCGCAACAATTTTTCTGCTGCAAAGAGGACCATAAACCGCAATAAAATCGCCGATCGTTCACAAGCGCGATTTTGTGTAGCTTTGAAATCGCCGTAAAAATCGCCGCAAAAAGCACTGACACCTCAAATTGCTAAAAAAACGCCCGTGTAAAACGGCGTCAATGAACCACCAAAAATGTGTTGCTAAACTTCGCTCTGTAAAATGCAACGATTATAATAACCGAACTATTGTATCGCCCGAATTTGTTGTCCGTACTAACGCTACACCTTATTGTTACTTGATGTTCCCTTCCTTCTTTCCTCTAGCATTGGTGACGCTTCTGGTTAACGACCCCGCTACAGGCGAAGAGAGGTCGACCACCATAGCTGTTCTGGGGAAAGGAAGCAGCTTTGGTGTAAGTTTTGATTCACGAGATTTCACTATTACCCCATGGTTAAGCCGGGATTCGTCTCAATGTACAATTCATTGCGCATGCACTCTTAGGGGAAATTTTGTATGTAAAAAACTGACAGTATAGGTGGGCCGTTACGTGACCGTGGCGGTACCATGTTCGAGCACTTTGATTGGTTTAGAAGTGTCCTCGCGCGCAGTGATTTGTTCAGAGGACTCTTCAGTTCGGTACTGTGATGGTGCCTTGTGCCATGGCGTTTAAAAGTCATTCCATACATTAGCCTATTCTATTTAACAACTAACGGTTCCTCTCACCACCATATCATCTTCTTAGGAATTGGCTCTTCTACACCACAAGACTCGTAGCGCAACGGTTCTGTGTAAGAATGAAGTCGCTCTTCTTGCTGTTGGACGAGAGGTACTTTTTCTTTTGCATAAGAATTTTGTTGAAAGTACTTTGTAGTAGGACTTAGGCGGGCAATTAGCTAATTTATCTTGTCCCGTACTACAAACAAAGTTGGCGTTGGCAAAAAGTCTTTTTGCAGCTAATATATGAGCAGCTAATATTTGTGAACTTGAGACACTACAGTCATATAGAAGAACACATGTTCCCTCCGCTTAACGGTATCATTTTTATGATTTTAGGACTTCAGGGATATTTTCATGAGTTATGAAGATGGGAAAGAACCGGATCACGTTCAATTTTTGAGGTAAAATAGTGCGTTATAACACCCTGCCGCTGTTAGTCAACGTTATGTTGGTGCCTCACCTGGTGTATGCATTGGAGGTGACTGCAATGCATTGGATGTGACCTGAATGGATGTGACTGGACTATGGATTGGATGTGACTAGAATAAATGAGACTGGACTATGGATTGGATGTGACTGGAATGGATTGGATGTGACTGGAATGGATTGGATGTGACTGGACTATGGATTGGATGTGATTAGAATAAATGAGACTGGACTATGGATTGGATGTGACTGGAATGGATTGGATATGACTGAGAGGGATAAGTTTCAATTTAACTAGTCTAAAGTTGAACGACCAATATCATTTATTGCAGGACCATCCCATACCTCATGGACCTACCCTTAGAACAATGTGTAACACGACATGACATATGTATATTCCACTACTTTAGGTAAAAATGATGACCATTTTATTCGATAGACCCCTTGCACTGAGTCACAAGAGAATTTGTTCTGGGGGACAAAACAATGGATTTTTTTACATAAAAAAAGACGGCCTATTATTTTTGCCCCCCAGAACAATTCCTCTAGGAAATCAGTGCAAGGGGTCTATAACTGTCAAGTAATAATAATAAATAATATTATTCTTGTTTCATAATGTTCAATAACAAACCCCTGGCTTCTCATGGTGAAACCTTTCTTCTGTGATCTTTATTTGTCGTCCACTTGTGGTCTAATATCCTTGATCAGTGTGAATTGCTTGGGTTCTATGTATTCTTTCTACAAGTTTCTATTACAGTTTATCTTCTCTTATTCTTCTCGAATAACTGTGAAGCTGCACGGTACACGGCATGTCATGATACAGAGTTTACGACCTCTTTTGAGCCTGTCACAGCACGCTAATATACTTCGCATCCAATCAAAATGCTTGAACGCGGCACCTTCACCGTCACGGCACGGCACGCCTGAACCTTGAATTTTTTGATTTTTTTCTAATTTCTGTGTATGCCATGAATGCCACGCTAAATAATGCGTTTCTTTCTATTTATGTGCCTTCGTTATTATATATATTTCCATATATCTTGATTATATATCTTTGATATCCTTTCCTTACAGACGTGGTGTTGTAATAGTGAAAAATAGTAACACAGAATGGATTTACATCCTAAAATCGGTGAGACTGCTGTTTCATTATCAACTTGTATTTCTATAGCTAAGTAAAGATTATTAGCAGCGCACTCCACCCATGGCTCATATTTGTTATTTACTCGGGATTACCTTAAATGGCTTCAACTTTTCCATTCAATTTCTTGGTATTTTTTCACTATCTTTTCTGGTTGGTGGTTCCGTGGGTTCCCTGTGAGATTTTGTGAAGTCAATCATGTTCTTTACGCTCAGTTGAATGAAATTGGAACCCCCGTTTTGTGAAGGCAATCTGCCTGGCGCGCGCCATTTTCGAACCCTGCGTTTTGAATTCCTGGATCCTCAACTGTTACTAATATAGTTGATCTTTCCAGGGTTCTTGTCGCGTCCTAACAAACCTGGCAAAGAGAAGATCATCGACAAGTTCCTGTCGAGGGGATCAAAATATTCTCAATCTACCTGCTATTCCAGTGAATGAATTTGAAAGAAGAAAACTTTTATATACAGGTAATAACCGAATGATTTTATAAACTTGTTAAACTTTTTTTCTTTTTCTTTTTTTTCTTGCTTGACAAATAGTATAGTGTTCCACTCTTTTTTTTAATTTTTTTTTTTAAATCAAGTGCAACAGTCCTTTTCAAAGTTTCCTGAGCCATCTTGAAGGTTGAGCTTGCAATGATAGAGACCTTTTTTTAACGCCTTGGACAATTATTCACATGTCTTTATCACTGCAACCCAAGGTCAAGGTCAACTCAAGGTCAACCAATCAGAATTGAGGATTCAACATCATATTAAACGGATAATTCTGCCGAGAGAACCCATGAAAAATGAATTATTTATTCTTTATATTGATCGTAAATGCCACTAGTCAAACTCATGGTAGATTTCTAGTTCGTTAAACGCGAGAAATCTCCATTGTACTCAGCCCCTGTTAGGAAAATGCTAACCAAAAATAACTGACCCATGATCCCTTTCGGGGAAGCAGTCAACTCAGTTAGAAGCTCACCGTTCGTCGATGCAAAGGCACGGCTACCTTTCAAAATGGTTCAGGAAACTGTGAAGGACCCATTAAATGATCCTTGATTTAATATTCAAACGATTGCAGCTTGCGGTGAACGTAGTACCAGAACAGCCTGGTCAATAGCAGACAAAAGACCAAGAACAGAACCACAAACACATAAGGAGAAAGCCGATCTATCTTTACCGGCGATCACATCAGACAACGAAAAATTTAAGGTAATTAGAATTTATCTCATAAATGTGGACTGATAACTAACTTTAATCGTCGATGTTGCTTGATATACCATGCGTGTCGACCCAGTTTTTTTAGAGGCAGGGAATCGTCAATTCAAAGCACCACCCTGAACATTAAATGGGGGGGGGGGATGTAAATTACATTTATGTTGTTTATCGTGTTAGCACATTTTGGCACGGTCTGTGGGTACTTTGCCGATTCTCATGAACCTTTCTCAACAACTCAACGTTAGGCAGCTACATTTGGCCATCTTTATGGTGCATAACTTTTTTATTACGCAGTACTGGAAGGTAAGTCTATTTCAGTTGTAGAGGGAGGCTGTGGAATTCGCAGTAGACTTCATTTTAAATGGTTGTAGCGATCCCCCTTTCAGTCAGTACTGAAATTCATGACCCTTCTACTAAGTCAGCAAGGAAACAGCTTTCGTCAAAAATAAGAAGTTTTAACGTCCAAAAAAAAATTCAAATTTTCACTGATGACGTTCCCCTCTGAAGTCAAAGCCCTC